TGTGCTGTCACATTGCCACAGCTCCGAAAACTTCTGAGCAGCCTCGGAGAGATGCTGGTGGGAGGTGGGGGGGGGCGACAGCACTGAGCACGCAGCGGGGTCGCAGCACCTGGCGTGGACCAGTCCCATGCCCCCGTGTGCAGAGTGACCTTCAGTGCCCGTGCAGAGCCTGGAAGGACTTACCACCACCAGGTCTGGTTTGCTTACTTGGTCTTTCCTTTCCCCAGGAGACGGTCGGAGATTTTTTTTCTGTGCGATCAAACAGCAGATTAACAAAGGGTCCATCGATGCCATTACGGGGAAAGCCAGGTACACCCTCAACGAGGAGTGGCTGCTGAGGGAGAACATTGAGGCAAAGCCAAGGGTGAGTATCTACACCCCGGGGGGCTGACGGGCATGTACCCCAGCAAGGTGGTTGTACAAGCGGCAGGTTTGGTACCAGTGCAGGTGCAATAACTACGTAAATTGTACACCTGCAGAGGCACCCTGCCGATGCCCACACAACTACAGCTACAGAACAAGGCTTGTAATGACTTGTTTATTTTCACATCTGTCCCTTGGTGGGTCACCTAAGTACCTGAGATCAGGAGTGGAGGGAGGTAAGAAAATTTCTTCTGCCGTATTCAGAGAGTTAAAGCAGCAGGTCTACTGTTCCCAGCAAAGCAGCATCTTCACTAGCAGTCAGAAGGTGCTGACTGTAAACGTGAGCCCCGGGGTGAGGGCTTTGCCCAGGCAGTTACAGGAGCAGTGCTAAAAAGTGGTGCTGCAAAATGCCTCCTGTGGGAAGAGGGCAGACCAGGGCTGTGCATGTGAAGGGCTCAGTTCCCTCCAGTGCCTAACACAGAACTCAACAGATGCTTTTCCAGAGCCTGGGTCAAATCCTGCTTTCAATTACCTGGCATAAATCTGGAGCAGCTTCACTGAAGTCAGTGGGTTACCCCAGATGTGCATCACCGTAACTCAGAGCAGGTTCAAGCTCCACATCCCCTGCAGATTCCTGTTACCAATTGACCTGTAAATTTACAGCACAGACCGAGAGGGGTTAGCAGCAGGGCGCAAAGTATTAGCTTTCTCGAAAGAAATGGTAACTTCATAAGTCTGAGCTGTGGAAGTGTGACTCCTTCCTACTTCGTTCTCAGGCTGAGGAACAAGAGTGAGCAGGGTGTGTTAGGAGGAGAGCAATGCAGAGTTAGTGCTAACTCACCAGCAATCCCCCACATTGCTGGTAACTGAACCTCTGTTTTAAAAAACACCTGCACAGTATGCAGTGTGAAAAAGCATCTTCATTTACTGCTATGGAAAAAAATTGAACTTCGTCTGTGTATTCACATTGTCGTCAAGGATGCTGGCTCTGTATCCTGATCCTTAAAAGCAGTGTTTGCAAAGGAACCTCCAGGCTGTGAAAATCTCAGCCGTAAATCTCACGTGTACCAGGTGTCTGTCTAAGGGGCAGCTGTGCTTCCGCACAAGCAACACTCCTGGCATCTGCAGCATCCCGCCCTGGGCTTGCCAGTCAGGCAGTGAGGTGGCTTCAGGGTTGCATCCACCACTAGATGAAGGCGCAGTGTTGCCCTCAAGTTTGGGCACACCAAGGAGCAGAAGGCTCAAGCAGAGGCAGAGCTGAGGCTGTCCCAGAGCAAAGCCCTTGTGCAGGAGGAAGACACCATGCTTGTCCATTTGAGTCTGCACAGCTTGCAAGAGAAGGAGGCACCTGGACTCTCCCTCTCCTCACAGCTTCCAAAAGAGGAGAGGGTTTTTTATGGGAAGTCACTTTCATTGCCCTGTAGCTTTCTGCTCTGACTGTAGCAGTATCTGGGCATCCCTGAGGTCCAAGCTGGTGTTCATGGCAGCCTGCATCCCCTTGCAGCTGCTTGTCCCGCTGTTCAGTGTGTTCTTGTGCAGGTTATTGGGTGATGCTGGTGGTGGACTCCAGTGTTGCAGCAGACCCGGCCTGCGGTGTGCTTGAAACTTGTTTAAACAAAGGAGCTTGGCCCATTGCGTCAGGGAGAGGCTGAGCAATGAGCCTTGGCGGTCCCATTCGTCACCGGTTGGAGCCAAGAAGCTGAGGACATAACTGGTTAGGGGGGCTGACCTTTCCTCCCGCCCCCGAGGTGGTCTCTGCTTGTCAGGGCTAAGGCCCATTAGCAAAGCAGCCGTGAAAGGAGGTTGCGGTGTTGCTCCCTGTGTCCTCCTGGCTCCGTCAACAAACAGGAGCCTTCAGCCTCTGAGGGCTATAAATCAGTGCCTTTCATAGTGGTAAAGCCTAGATAACTGCTTTTGTTCAGCCTGATTTCCAGCAGCGCGGGGCCCAGAGCGCACCAGTGAGAGCTGCGCGGGTGTAGCAGCCTCCGTGCGTCTTTGGGGGCCAGCAGAGCTGGGCAGGTCACCCCTAACCCAGCCTCTGCCTGCAGAACCTCAACGTCTCCTTCCAAGGGTGTGGGATGGACTCCCTGAGTGTCAGAGCCATGGACACAGACACACTCAGCCAAGTGAAGGAGAAGATTCTGGAGGCCTTCTGCAAGAATGTCCCCTACTCCCAGTGGCCAAGGGTGGAAGACGTTGACCTTGGTAAGGACCACATGCATTGGGCCAGCCAGTCCTTAAAACCAGATGAAGCGCCTGATGTAGCTCTTGGTGTCTGTCAGAGGGCGATGGGTGAAGCAGTACTGATGAGAGGGCAGGCATCCAGTTGGTCTTTTCCTGAGGATGGTCTTCAGGAATGAGTGATGGGATCAGAACCTGGTGAGCAGGAGGGAGCCATGTAACTGGAAGGAAGCTTTAGGAAACCCCAAATTGAGCAGAGGGATTCTTGGAGTTGCACTCTTTAAAGCCTACAGTCTTAACCCCAGAACAGGTGCCCTATAAAACAGCCCTGAGGCTGCACACGCCTTGTTGATACGTGTCTTTGTAAACAGATGTAATTGAGCCCATGGACTCCCATCCTGTCATAGATTCAGATCTGTCATTTACCTGCCCAGTGGCCAACTTCTTATCCCCAAATTTAAGAAGGATCCAAGCCCAGTGCTGCCTGTGGTGCCTCTGTACCATGCAGCGGACAGTGGGGACGCACCCTGGCTGTCAGCAGCAACAAAGTGTGACATTCAGTGTAGACAGTGCCAGAGGGAGTCTCAATAGAGGAATGCCCTGGGCTGGCATGGTGACAGGGCCCTGCTCCTTTCAGCCAATGCACGTGATGTGTCCCCCGATCACAGGTTCATGAGCAGCTCTGCCCTGAGAGGAGATGCCACCAACTTTCGGTGCCCACATGCAGGCCACGTGGCATCTTACCTGCCTGCTGCTCCACAGGGCAGGTCCCACACAGCCCTCAGGCGCGAGGGAAAAGGGGAAGATGGGCTCCTCCCTGTCTCTCCAAGCAGAGCCTCTGCCAGCTCCATCCAGGTCTGCTCCAGTCTGGAAATCCGCACCCCAGGGGCTAACCCTAGAGGCCATTGCTAAGTGCCTGCTTGGTTTCACAGAGCCCCGGAGGCCTTGGCAGCAGGGCTGTGCACCCCCTGAGCACTGCATGGCTGGTCTCTGGAGCCCAGGACCCCACGGTATGAGCCTCCTTCAGGCTGGTGTCTCATTTCTCCCTTCTCTGTGTTCAGAGTGGTTCGCCACCAGCACCGACAGCTACATCCTCCGGGACCTTGATGACACCTCGGTGGTGGAGGACGGCAGGAAGAAACTCAACACGTTGGCCCATTACAAGGTAACTTGCCAGCGCTGCAGGAAGGCTTTGCTTCTTTGGAGACTGCCTGGCCTCAGGGGCGAGCTGTGGTTCCCCCTCCAAAAACAGGATTATCAGGAACAAGCAGGGAGGTTGCCATAGTTCCGTGAGAGCTTCCGGGGAATAGACATCTGCCCTGGCGAGAAGCTCGTTAATATTGCAACACACTGAAACTAATTAAACACTCTTCATGCAAAACAAGTTATTACTGACAACAGAAAGAGGAGGAAAAAAAGCTCCTATTCCCAACGGCCACCAGCTTGGCTGATTAGTATAACTCTGATC